TCATCCGATATTTTTGTGGGTCTCCTAAAGTTCGCAGTTCTTGTAGGTCGCTGGTGTACGTATCCTTTCATGTGTTCTTCTTTTTGGATGAGGCGACAGTCTATGGTTAATACTCTTCTATTATTGGTTTTCTTTCATGTGAGTAGGGAAGACGAATTTCATCGTTTACTCTTGAGGCTTTTGTTCTTTTCAAACAAACACACAAACCACGCACTATACAATACAGACATTAATTCGGGGACACCGAAGCAGTCATATTATATAAGGCATAAACCCGGAGATATCTTAGCTCTGATATCCAAGCACACGCTTGCGATCTCCCTTCACTTCTGAACCTATCCGATGACTGCAAAACAAGCAGCGTTGAGATATTCCAGGATCACCCATTTCTATATTCCAGAATCAATGACCGACCAGTCGGTTTCTCGAATAACTGCTCATACATCATTTTGATGACTTTGATTTCCCATTTGTACGCTTTACTATCTCATACTGCTACTGTCACTATCCTAACTCGGGGAGGCAAAATTTGTAGATTTGGCCTGTAGGAACCCTCGAAGTTGTCGTGGATTTCATGAAGTCCGTCATTGAGGACAATACCTTGAGCTCTTATTCTAATTGTCAGTTGTTGGTTCTCAGGTTCCGATCCACTGGTGACGTCATCCATATCCCAGTCATGGAATAAACCTGGTCACGCTGAATCGCTTTGTGAAGTCCAGAATAATCAGGCTCCCTATGTTGAGCACATGAATTCTCTCCGTAGGATGTAGAACAGAGACTTCGCAATTTATCCTGGTCGTTTTAGGCTTCCAAATTGTTTTCGAATGCTGTGTATATATCATCAGGCAATACATGGCATGCAGTTAGGTTATCGAACGTGAGCACAGCACTGTGGACATCGGGAGTGTATTGAGATTTCCCGAATTGAAAAATAGGTTATTCATGGAGGTGTTTATGAGAACTAGGTTAGAATTCGATAATCCGTTTTCTAGAGGAAAAAATTGCAAACAGTCGAAGACTGTCAAGCTTGATCGAGAACTTAAGAAAGTCAAGCGATGGTGCTGAGATTCAAGCGCACAAAATTCTGAATGATCAGCGTTGATCAATACATCATTCAGTCACCACCACCACCTGAATAACCTACAGGAAACGAAATATTTTTCAAACGTACGAAAGTCCGCTCTGCTAATATACGAAATTTGTCAATTCCACTCTCATTGTCTTTTGAGTCACATTGCCTTCTCTCTTTTCCATATGACAATAGTTTTGATGCGTTTGTGTCTGGATGATTGAGTGACTGACCAGATCGTTCACATATGACTTTGGCTTAAATTACAGAAAAGAAGGTGGGCATATCATGTGGGCCATTGTTAGAGATTCCTTGCCATATCTTTCGCCGCCCAAGACGCGAAACGATGTTGACT